CATGCGGGGGCTGCCAGTTGACAATCTTACTCAAAGCAGCATCTATATCCATGCAAAGCAGCATCTATATCCATGTTCTGCGAAAGGAGGGAATATTTTCATGCCCAGCTCTACGCGTATTCATACCAAGCTGGGTTCAACCTGACTTTTGCAGGGTTGTGGTGCAGCGTGGCAGCCCACTGTCGAGCTGGTCCCAGCTACGGTCAGCCAAGTGCATGGCATGACATATGTGTGCAAGTGCAAGAGAACGTACCGTAGCGCAGCAAGAGTATGTGTGCAAGTGCAAGAGGACGTACAGTAGCGTGGCATGACCTATGTCTGCAAGTGCAAATGAACGTTTTTAGCCCACCCCACCCACCCACCCCACCCCACAGTCATGTTGATAGTAACATACAAAATGAGACAACAGTTGCGAGCCTCCCAAATGCCCGGCACCAAAAACAACTGGACTGCCGGAGTTCATGACCTGATCTATATATTCGAACCATGACATAGGAAACCAAACCGTCTCCCTATGAGACTTTTTCGGGGGACCCCAAAAGTGATGCCAAAAAAAAACACATGCCCTTCCCTAAGCCCTAAGCCATCACTTCCCTTCAAAACCAGCTTCCAGGCTTTGGTTGAAGAGATTTCCCAAGGTCAGCCGTTGAAGCTGGCTGGGAAGGGAGACACGCTCCAAGCTGCGCTTGAAATTGCCTCCCAATTTCAGACTCTCTAGGCCTGGGATGCGTCAACTGGGTCCCGACTGCGACGGCCTGCAGACTTTTCGAAAAAACATGAAGCCACTGGGAAGTGGATAAAAATCGTCAAACAAATTGTATGATTTGTATGCTTACTGGCCTACAATTGGAGGTTTCATTGTTCACCAGTACCACATTTACCAAAATTGACTTGATGTGACTTGGCCCTGCCAAGACCCTTCCAGACAAAGAACTTTGAGGAAACTTCACAAATTCGAAGCTCTGATTGAATCCGCCCTCGAACGCCAGATGTCTCAGACTGCTGGGTAAACACAGATCCTCGAGGATGTCCACGGCATATCGATCGAAACCTCAGATCCCACCCACTCCGTCCGGAAACCATACTGGTGCTTAATTCGGAGGGAATGGGGACTGAATGACCCAATCCAGAACTAATTTCACACTCATCCGATTCCCCCATTCCCTACTAATTGAGCACCAGTAAGCCATGTTCCTGCAATTCTTGTTTGTTGATCTTTTTTGCACCAAGAACGTCCAAGGAACTAATTTCCTTGATGCCCTCCAAGCAAGAGTCGCCTTCCTCACAGTCCATACCACAAAGAACTTTCCAAGCGTGCCACCTCAGTCAGCATAGCGCTTCAACTCGCTTCAAGGGTGCAGAAACAAGGACTTGCAAATTCATCTTTCAAGAGATGGATTTAAGGGGAGATCATAGGGAAACCTACCAGAAACCATGTTTATTCAAAGTCAAATACAAAGGTCTCCTGTCATCCAATTTGGGGAATCTTATCCACTTAGGCCCCGCAAGGGTAACTCAAAGCTTTGCAAATGCAGAAACATGGAGAAGTTTTCAAACACCGCCTACAGCAACTACCAAAATCCCATTGCAAAAGAGCTTCTGCCCTTCAAATCCCTTCAACACAAGCAGCGTTCAAACCCAGCATCCCTTACTGCTTCGTTGCTAGGGATAGACCCGATCGTATCAGGCTTTGAGCACTGCTCAGGCGGGTTCTGTGAATTCAGAATGCCGCACTAAAAAACCCTCCATATTATGAATTCGAGCAACCCCCATGATGTATGATGTGCCATGGTCAAATTACATGGGATGGTGGTATGGGAGTGCTATATAGTTCTATCCCATAGGACTCCTGAACATTGAGTCAAAAAAAAAAACATGAACTGATGACCCGAAATATGGCTACAGAATGGTACATACTGACCATGGCACAGATAGAAAAAATGAAGTCCTACTCAAATTGTCACAACTTTTATCTAAATGTTCCATCTCTTTGGGGGGTCACTAGAGGGTAAATCCTCCTGTGTCGGACACGGCCACGCATTGACCTTGGTGTAGATGTACGACAGCTCAGCTGATTCGGATAGACCTTGCTCCTCGAAATCATGGGCTGGCGTGGGCGGGTTTCATACTTCGCAAAACATCACAATCATCACCATCATCATCCTTATCCTCATCACCACCATTTCTCCCGGCAAAAATGGTAGATGTCCCTTTTGTCTCCTTCAGCGTGCTGCCCATCCGCAGTTTCTGCTCCCCGAAGAACAGCATCAGAGGGGCCGCGCGGCCCGGACCCAGCTTGGCCCGCAGCAGCTGTAGCAGTTCGAGGCCATGCAACGAGTCGAAAACGCTGAGGTGGATCTCCTCTGGGAAACGAGTCGATTACGGAAAATCACCATATTTTCATCGGTAAATCAACAAACTAAATGGTCAGGGTCATCCACTAGATCTAAATAGTTACCCTCTGGTAATGACTAACATAGCTATTGAAAATGACCATAGAAATAGTGGATTTACCCATGAAAAATGGTGATTTTCCATAGTTATGTTAGTTTACCAGAGGGTATGTGAATAGTTATGTGAACTAAACGAGAACTACTGCTGAGCTCCAGGAGATTCTTCGGACCATCTCCCTCGGTGGACTCTTGAAGTTTGGGAATAAGTGTCGAACATAATCAGTTCCAAGTGGCGATGATCATCTGACATATGTGGGAATAGGTTTTTTTCACATGTTGAAACCTTTTTTTCATCCTAAGGATTTTTTGTGGGATGAACATTCATGAAAAGTATCATTTACCCTCTGGTAAACTAACATAACTATGGAAAATCACCATGCTATCAATGGGAAAATCCACTATAAATGGTCATTTTCAATAGCTATTTTGACATAACCAGAGGGGATTTGGAGGAAACAAACCAGGCTACCGTAGCGTCATCCATGACTCTGTTCAACTCCTGGCCGTTCAAGCCCGAGATCTTCAGGTCCAGAGCTTGCGAGCCATCTTGAGACATGGCCAGGTCGCTGAGCGAATGGTTCAGCGTTTTTTGTCCGAAAAGCTGGCAGGGTCTGCTTGGATCTGCTTGAAAATTGTTGTTCTAGAAAAAAGTGTTTTCAGCTCTGCAGAAAGCATGTTCCCGAAAAATCTGAAAACACCTGGCTGAGCTGATCTTCTGGATTCCTCAAACTCCATGCTGATATTTCGAGCAAAATGCTGGTAATCGTCAGTACAAGGTGCACTACATCCAACATCACTTTCAGCGGTTCAAAGAAGACCACGCCATCGACTGGGCCCCGCACTGGATGATGGTCCAGCAATTGCTTGAAGAATTGATCCCGCTCCTTTTCCTCCATGACCTGTCGCAAATGTCTGAATAATAAGCACTGGTCACATTTCCATACATTTCCATACATTTCCCAGAACTTAGAACTCATTCAAGGTGACTGGAATGAATTCAGGAATCTTCAGGATCTATTCGAAGAACTGTCGAGTGCAATGGCTGCAGCACGGGCAATTTTTGAACCAAAGCCATGCTCCAGGGCCAGTAGCTCCAGTCGCCGCCTCGGAACAGGCACAACCTGAAACCTGATGTGAGACAAATGCCTCAACACAAAGTAATACACTGTTATATAATTGTTGCTAAAACATTGTTGTTGCAAATGTTTTTACAAAATGTTTATCTATGTGTATATATATGTATATATATACATATGTATATATATATATGTATGTATGTATATATATATGGTCCCGTGTCCCGTGTTCCCACCCCCCCCATGGGATGGGGGGGGGTATGATGCCCCTGTGGTGGTGTATATACATACATACATACCTACATACCTACCTACCTACCTACCTACGTACATACATACATACATACCATTACATTACCTTACCTTACATTACCTTACATTACCTTACCTTACCTTACCTTACATTCCATACATGCATACATACATACATACATACATACATACATACCAACATACCAACATACCAACATACACCAACATACCAACATACCAACATACCAACATACATACCAACATACCAACATACCAACCAACATACCACACAGGCCACATGGGAGTGGGGCCAGAAGAACCACCCCACCCAGGCCAGGGGGGGGGGACCAGAAGAACCATACCACCACCACAGGCCACAGGGGGAGGCCATGGGGGCCGAGCGGGGGGGCCAGAAGAACCATACTATGACTGCTCCACCCATACCCATTGGTGGGGGGGGGAGGGGGGGTGGCCAACGCTGCACCATATATATACATATGTGTATATATATATATATACATATACATATATTGCAATATGATATATATATATATGTAAGTGTATATATATATATACATATGTATATATATATATATACATATACATATATTGCAATATGTATATATATATGTATATATATATATATTCTCAGACCTCTCAAATGTTGCTTGAAAAACCAAGATATGGCAGATCAACACAGGGCAGAGGCCGCAACGCAAACGAGCACCCAGAGCTTACACTGGCTGTCCATTACGCTTGATCTCGAGAACCTCATGTCGGACAATCCCAAGGTTTGTTATCATGTTACAATAGATATATAGATATAGATATAGATATAGATATTAGATATTAGATATTAGATATTAGATATTAGATATAGAAATAGATATGGATATAGAGATATAATATATAGATAGATATATATATATATATACATAGATATAGATATAGAAATATCGAAATAAATAGTGGGGATTTTCCCAAAAAATGTTGAAACAACCTGGTGCTGAAAAAACACACGACACAAGCGTTGCATCTCTGTTTGAGTTTCACTGGAGGGGACACGCATGGACACGCTATATCTTTCCTTCCAGGCGGTAGTCACCTACAACCGCAGTTTGAAGGAAACCAAAACCCATTCTCCACGTGGTAGCAGTTTCGGTAAAGAAACAACTATCCTCAAGTCATGACCAAGGGAAAAAAAGTCATACTCCCAGTTTTATGACTGGATGTAGTACCATTCTGTGAAATGTCGACTGGATGTCCCAGTTTCTGTGAAAGCTAAGACTTGGACCTCAATCTCAAAGAGCAAATCTGCATTGGGTGGGATTCCCCAAGATGGAAAGCCACGTCCACCATAACCTTCTGAGGCGGGGATGCGTAAGCCTCGGATCTCGCCCTTGGTCATACCTGGCATCGGAGACATGATGACTTTTTTATATGGCACCATCTCAGCGATCCCGTGATGATCATAGGACTATAGCACCCCAAACAAAAAAAAAATAGTATTATTATTATCATTATCATTATCATTACTGTTATTATTATTTATTATTATTATTACTATTAATTGTTATTATTATTGTTATTATTATTACTATTATTACTATCATTATTATTACTATTATTACTATTAATTATTGTTATTATTGTTATTACTATTAATTACTATGATTATTATTATTATTATTTATTTTATTATTATGATTATTATTATTACTATTTATTATTATTATTATATATATATACACACACACATATATATACAAGTAGATTTAAAAAAAAAACAAGTGACAAAAAAATACTATAATTTCATCTATTATGATTCCATCTGTCCTTCTTTGGTAAAAAAAAACTGTTTTTTGCAACGTCTGCGATGCGGCCCATGGCGCCTCGGGCGCCCATGTCCCATCCTTTAATGACTCCACCCCCGCAGGTGTAGGTGAACGGCTGCTGTCCAGCATCCTGGGGCATTTCTGTGGCCACGTCATGGAATTGGGGGAGAACTCTACCCTCTGGTTATGTCAAAATAGCTATTGAAAATGGCCATTTATAGTGAGTTTTCCCATAAAAAATGGTGATGTTCCATAGTTATGTTAGTTTACCAGAGGGTAAATCCATGGGCTCTGATCCATCGGGATGTTTGTCCTCTAAGGGGTGAGCTACTGAACCTGGGAGCGACTGAAGGGTCTCCCAGCCGAGTGTGCAAAAGAGCGGGATGCCAATGGAGTTACAAATTTGCCACTGTGTTGCAAATGGTTTGTATATCCACAGGATCTGATGTTACCACTAAAAATCATTTTATACATCCCGGATGTTTGTGACTTCTATGTCTACCCGGTTTTCCTGTCCTTTCCCTCCGAACCTCTTTTTCTTGGATACAAACTGGTTGGCGCTTTCAACCCCCTGAAAAAAAGATACAGTAGTCATTGGGGATCATCATCCAATGTCTATGGTTGAAGATCAAACACATCTGAAACATTTTGAAGCCCCCGCAACCAGCGCAAAAACATGTTTCTCTGATACTGAGGTACCCCCAAAATCCACTACAAAAAACCACTGTCCCTCTTACGAAGGCCATAACTGGAGGCTTTCAACATCCCTGCGGCACCTTGGTACTCCAGAACTTGGTCTTCGTCTGAGTGACCAAACCAGTGGCATGCACCGTCACTTCATCGCCCGGTTGCACCGTGGCGGCACCCTAAGATTGGACCCTTCCGAAGGGTCGATTTGGGGAGGCTGGATCATGTGGGAATCTCAGCTGACAATGGTTAGAACCAGCCATTTTTTGGGCATGATTCGACTTTTTTGAAGGTCGGAGAGTGTTCCATTGCCGGATTAGATTGCCAGAGGGAAGCAGAATTGTCATTGTCTGATATAATGTCACTACAAGAAATCCTGAATCAGCTGTCTTGGGAATGACGGCCAAGAATACTTCGGACCCAGTTGCCTTTTGGGGATGGGTTGAACTGGGACAATCCCACTGATTTTCTGTGGGCAGCCTTGACCGCGGAAACCCGTGGAAAAAAGTCTCTGCCAAGACGCTTCAGTACCCTCCTTGCACGCTGCTTTTGGACAACAAGTTGGCATTTTCGTCAATGATGCTGGTACAAATTCGGTTGAACAGCCACAGGTTAAAACCCATGAAAACCAGCTGCATCTAAATTTCCGTCCTGTAGCACGGTGTAGAGGGTGTCCGCACCAGGGATGGCGATGAATTGGAACTCCTCTTTTTGCTTCTCTGGTTTCTCCCTCTTCAGGCCACCACGTCGCATCTGGTATTCCTCAGAAATACTGAGGGCTGAGAAGTTATACATTAGCATGGCGCTCTACCACGTTTTCTTTAGAGCTATTTTGTCCAAGTTTGGGTAATTATTGACCCTAAGTTTGGTAATTATTGTCCCCAACTTTTGGGAATTTTTGTCCCCAACTTTTGGTGATTTGGGAATTTTTGTCCCCAAGTTTTGGGAATTTTTGTCCCCAACTTTTGGGAATTTTTGTCCCCAACTTTTGGGAATTTTTGTCCCCAACTTTTGGTGATTTGGGAATTTGTGTCCCCAACTTCTGGTGATTTGGGAATTTTTGTCCCCAACTTTTGGGAATTTTTGCCCCCAACTTTTGGGAATTTTTGCCCCCAACTTTTGGGGAATTGGGAATTTTTGTTCCCAACTTTTGGGGATTTTTGCCCCCAACTTTTAGGGATTTGGGAATTTTTGTCCTCAAAAGTTGGGGACAAAAATTCCCAAACAGTTGGGGACAATAATTCAATTCCTATGGGAAAAATGATTGTCCCCAACTTTTCCCAACCGAAAAAGTTGGGGACAATAATTATTCCCATAGGAATTGAATTATTGTCCCCAACTTTTTGGGGGACAAAAATTCCCAAAAAGTTGGGGACAATAAATAAATTCCTATGGGAAAAGTTGGGGGCAATAATTATTCCCATAGGAATTGAATTATTGTCCCCAACTGTTTGAGAATTTTTGTCCCCAACTTTTGAGGACAAAAATTCCCAAATCCCTAAAGTTGGGGGCAAAAATCCCCAAAAGTTGGGGACAAAAATTCCCAATTCCCCAAAAGTTGGGGGCAAAAATTCCCAAAAGTTGGGGACAAAAATTCCCAAAAGTTGGGGACAAAAATTCCCAAAAGTTGGGGACACAAATTCCCAAATCACCAGAAGTTGGGGACAAAAATTCCCAAAAGTTGGGGACAAAAATTCCAAAATTCCGAAAAGTTAGGGACAAAAAATCCCAAAAGTTAGGGACAAAAATTACCAAAAGTTAGGGACAAAAATTGTAAAACGGTGCCTAAAGAGATAGCCCAAAAACATGGTAGAGAGACATGCTAAGTTATACACCCTCTGGTAATCAAACATGGCTGGCTGAGACATCCACCGTCTTTGATTTTAATCTGACGTTCGCTCTCTTGCAAACCCGACCTCTGGCTGCCCATGATTGAATTCCTGCAGCTTTTCAGTGGTCACCAGCCAGCCACCCTAGGTCTCTTGTGTTTCCGGCGACAAATCATCATTCCATGCTGCTAATTGTCCTGCACTTGGTTTAAAAGCCGAAAAATCCACATGGTTGTCCCCTTTTTTCCCAAAAACAACTCTAAAACCATCTACGGTAAGTCTAAGTTCATCAATTTCTTTACCTTAAAATGTCCCCAGAAAATCCATCCATCCATCCCCCATCCATCGCTGGCAGGGCGTCATCCGCCTCTTCCGGCGTCATCTTCTCCATAGCCTCCAACTTGTCATCGATGTCTTCCAAACCCGCCAGGGAGGAGGCCTCCGTTTCAGGCCAGAATGGGCCAGAGATAGAGAAATTCATGATCTGATCTGATGGATGATCTTCCATAAATGGGAGTATCTGATATGTGTATTTGTATATGTATTATGTATATGTAAATATTTCACATATATATATATGATATATATATATATTATATATATATTATATATATATTATATATATATATATTAGGGGGGTCCATAGTCATGGGGCAACCCCAATAGATGGTTGATTTGCTGGATAATCCCTTATAAGACATGATTTTGGGGGTAGCCCCATGACTTAGGAAACCTCTCTCAACGCACCCACGGAGGGAACCTTGGCACGTCCTTCCGAATCCGTGGCGGGCGATAAGGAGAAGACCCAGCCGACGAAGCCGAAGCCCAAAAGGACCACCTGGGGATGGTCAGGAAAAAGGTCTGAGTTCTTTATCAGTTTCATGCACGAATAATGGGGAGATTGTTGATGATGATGATGATGATGATGATGATTTTTGCATCGGACAAAATGCGGCTGTCTTTTTGTAGTGAAGTCTGAAAATGCACTGCGTTACTTCAACAAATAGACAGCTCTCCATTGGTCTCTAAAGCCTCAATCCCCCCCCATCCTTGAGTTCTCCACCACAACACCCAAGATGGTGAGTGCAAAGCCCATGGGATCACCCTGCGACCAGTGGGCTGTCACTGAACTTCGTCGAAAGCCATTGAACTTGGATCTTTTTCGGTTTGTCAATGCTCCTAAATTGGCAAATCATCATCTGCCTTATGAAAATTGCCATTTGGGCGGGGTACCGCATAGCATATTTTTAGATCCATTTGTTTGCAGAAGGAACGCTGAAAGAAGAATTTAAGACATGAAAAGTTGAGGGTTGAGCCAGTTCAGCGAATGACCAGTCAAGATCTGGGCGGGTTTCTGGGCCTGAATGGTGCACATTTCTCTATCGGGATACCCTATGGCCTGTCAAACATTGGAAAATGATGATAAACCAATCTGAAGCGTTGAATAGAATGGAGGCATCCCCAAAATCCGCTGGTTGAAACCCTTGTTTTCCCTTTGAAAACTGCCATAAAATGGGAAATACCGCACCCCCCATGTCTATTTTTACATCCACTTAATCCATTTAGGTTGATGAAATCCATCCAAATTTGGATCTGAAAATGGGGTACCCCCAAAATTAGAATATCTGCGATTTCTTTATTTCTTTTAAAAAGAATAATCCCATGACCCGTTCATACGAAACACCCCTGTCAAAGTGCAAGTCCAAGATGCACAGCAAACATGGCTTTTCACGCCTGAGTTCCAAAGTACCTTGTGCCTGTACGGCCGCGACGAGCGGCACAAATCCCTAAGCTGTGTCAGGGGGAAATGCACATGGATCAATGGTGCTACATGGCATGTATGAGCAGCACAACATACAATGTGACATTGACACTGGTTCAGTGTCGTGTTCTAAAAATGATGCCTTCGGCACAAATGGCAAATGAAGGACCCCACTACTCACAACGTCCCACCAATGCGCTGGGTTCAGATGTTTCGTCAAGATGTCCGCCAGCTGCTTGTCGGTGGGCACCCAGTGAATTGGTGCTTTGCAAGGCTTCTCTGGAGTGATGCTGCCGACGCCACACATCCTCTTCCATTCGTGGTGTGCTTCGATCATGAGGGTCTGGCGTATTGAAGCCAAATCCAGTGCTAAACGACGCTCACTCGGGGGACGCGGTACCCCCTCTCGGTGCAAATGGTCAAAAAGAGACTTGCAATCGGTCAGCAAATGGATTCCAATCGCTGCTCCAGCCTCTGCCTCCTTCACAACGCCACCTTTCAAAAACGAAAGGAGCAAGCTGCGCAAGTAGAGACCAGATTCGAGTGCTTCTCCACATGCCATCGTCTCACCTGCAAATGTTGAACGACACACCCTCGTGCTACCATGGCTGCGCCAATCTAGCAATGTTGCGGGCGCTGCTTCATTGTTCAGGCACCGCCTGTCTGCAACAAAGACAAGGGAAGCCAGTTGGGAAGACATCTTCGTATCTCCCTCCCACTCCACGTCTTCTGCAGTGCGGCCATCGAGCTGCACATTTGCCCACGCCGCATCGTGATACCCAAGGACTGTCATGTGCTCCTCAGGGATCTTGACAATCTTTAGGCCCTTGTCCTTGAACTTCTTGGCCTGCTCCACAATGCGATTCACGGCCTTGATGTCCGCCAAGGAGGGCCTGCCCTGGACCCTCTGAGCCTGCGCCACCATGAACTGTAGGTCGGGCCTGGTCTGCTTGGCGAGCCATGACAAGCAGCCCACGACTGACCGATGCTGATCCACCAGGTCCTTACCGACCTCGTCCTCATCCTTGATGTTCGAAGGAATGGAGATCTTGTTCAAGCGCGTCTCCACATAGTTGGCCTGCTTGATCTCAACGCACTCCGATGTGACGTGGTATTCACAGCCCACGTACTCAAAGGAATCGCTCTCCCAATCATCGACTGGGAACTTCTCAGCCACCGCCTTCTGAAACGCGATAAGCAAGTCGTTCTCGGCCATGACCATCAAGTCATCTACATGCGTGAAGATCATGCCAGCCACTCGGCGTGATGCCTGCTCCACCAGACGGAAAGCGCATGGGTCGATCTCGTTCTGCTCGACGATAAAACGTGCTTCTCCAATGACCACCACAATGCTCAAGAGATCTTTGGAAAGTTTCAGCCACCACAATTTAGGAGATGTAGAAAGTCCAAACACCCCCTTGAGGATCTCGATCAGCTGCTCTGGATGTAGTGAGCGGATGCCACGCACAGGTTGCCTAAAGAAAAGACGTCGAGGCGCTTCCACACCATTGAGGAAAGCTGCTCTAATGTCGCCAATGGAGATTTTCCATCCTCGCGACAGAGCCACCACCAAACCAAGCAAAAGAGAGTGCCTGTTGGAAGTGGGGGCGTCCACTGACATCTCGACCACACCAAGGTCTGGATCCCGTTGCCCACCAACACAAAGACGGGCCTTGGCCTTGCAAGGGATGCCCGGGTCATTCCTCCGTTTTGCTAGATTCTTGTCTCTGTAGAGGAACCTGGACGTCAAAATGCGTTCGCGTCCATATCGTTCTTCCACTTGGCGACTTTCCTCCACAGACAGAGGGCGGACAGCCCCAAACTTGATGTGTTCCTCCCACTGCACATCCTCCGCCTGCTTGAAGAGCTCCTTCTCCTCGGGCTGGATGAGGTTCCACGGGATCTCTTTCTCCAGTGCTTTGTCGGTGAGGCCTGGTTTGGCCTGTCGGGCCAGATACTGCGTCTCTGCGCTGGCCTCGTTGGAGGTCTGCACCTTCACGGCCTTGGTCTTAATGGACACGGGGACGTCATCTAAAGAGCTTCTCTTCCTCGTCTCCCTCAGAATGGCCTCTTCCCGCAGCCGAGCATTGGCAACTTGCTCGGGTGGAACGTGTCCAAAACTGTCGAAGACCAAAGGGGCGGGGTTGCCATACCCATCCACCTCCATGTCCTTCTCGTCCTCAGCCTCCATAGCAATGTCTCCAAGTGCCTGCGGCTGCTCAGGCATCTCCTCGTCTACTTCTTGTTCAAAGTCAGCATCGGCGCATTCTTTGAGTTGCAAAAGCGCGGCTTTGATCCGCAATGCTTCGCTAACTTCTTCATGCTCAGCTGGGCGTAGGTGTTCCCCAGCTGCCAAAAGACATCGGCCACCTCTTGCCACCCAATAATTCTGCCCTTCTGGGCCGATGACTGTGCAAGGCCCCAGCCACTTCGAAGCCACACGTTTGCTCTTGCCCTTGCCCTCGCGGAAGACATAGACCATGTCGCCTGGCTTGTATTCTCGAAGGGCTACCCGGCTCTTGTGAGAGACGGCACGTTTCAGGGCCTCGATGTTTGGCGCTGGCGGGCCTACTGCGCTTTGTGGTGCAGTGGGTGCAAAGTTCCAAAGAGCACCTTAATTGGATTGCAAGACAAAAAAAATAAAAAAAAAGAACAAAAAAATGCAAAAAAGGAAAACAAAACAAATAAAAAAGAATTCACGCCTGATGTGCAAAATGCGGCTGACAGACGTCAGTCGAAACAAGAGTCCGTGACGGACCACCGAATTCAAAATGCGGCTGATTTCAAGCAGTCGAAACAATATACCAAAAGAGAAAGAAGTCAAGAGAATGAAGATCAATGGATCTCAACCTAGACAGTTGCCTTGCTGGCTGGCGCTGCTGTGCTTGATGTGCTTGCCTGCCCAAGCTGCGTCTTCTTGCACGGAAAGCCCCGTGGCATGCACTAGACCTAGCCCCCTGGAGGGCTCCCCGGGTGCGTCGTTTGGCGGTGGGTTAGCCGCGGCCAATGTGACCCTTTGCAATGGTCTGTGCGGCAGCTGTTCTGCAGTGAAGTTCGCGCGCTGTGCGCCTTCGAACTCAACATGCGCTGCGCCTCAGTGCCATTGCAGTGAACTCCTGCCACCAAGCAGCGAGGCCATTTTTGCATCTTGGCTGGCACCTACCGAGAGCGATTTGTGGGATCCAGAGTCATGGGATACTCCTTGGTCACTCGTGGTGGGTTTTTTGCTGTTTGATTTTCATGTTGAAATGTGGCCTCATTTCCTGATGTGGTCTTTTACTTCAGTGATTCTTCTTGGAAGGGGTCACAAACTCAAACGAAAACGGCGAAGGTCAAACAGGCCTTGCCTGAGAGGTAAACGACTTGTGTTCGGCCGAACTGTTTCCATGTGCCGTTTTGTTCGGTCAAGACGAGTTAGGGGGGCTCGCATGAAATGTAGGATTTCGACACGTCAGAAAGTCAGGGAGAGACGGAGTTTCAAATTCCGTTCCCGGCCACAGTTTCTTTCACCGGTGTCGGACAAGGAAATGCCTGATTTTCCGCAAAGCAAATCTGCTTGGTCTAAATTTAGCAAAGCGTATGTTGATCTTCTTTGCTCAGGTGTCTTGGTTGGGGGTACTCTCAACCAGTATAAGAAACACCCACCTCGACGGAAATATGCCAAACGGGGTGAGGGGAATAGCCATACTCTGGGTGAACAAACCCGGGATTTGATTGCTGCTTTGAAACAGTGCCTCAACAATGAACCTTCACTGGAGCATTTGTGGTCGGCCCTACAGGCCACTGTCGCCCAGACGGTGCCTCATAGGACCAAAAAGAGTGGACCCAAGAAAAAGAAACTGAAAAGCGTCGGCTCCAAACCTCCTGCTGACACAGGCGGGACTGATGAAAAGGTTCTCTGGTGGACTGATGAAACCGGTCACAAGAGAGCGTATACCATCAACCAAAGAGGGTGGTGGACTTGGGTACCTGATGTTCCGACCTCAGCAAGCCATCATCATCCTGCCAGCCGAGCAGATGGCCACAAAGGCGAGCCGAACCAAGGTAGACTTGGCACTTGGATGTCAGGGCTGAGGTCCACTGATTGGGCCACCCAGCCTGTTCCCAAGCTCATTTCTTTCCCTAAAATTCGTGACTCCCTGAAACTTGGACAAAAGATTGACGGGAAAGTGGTTGAGATATGGAGCCCGGATGTCCTGGATGAGTTGAACACCTTGTGGTCATGTTTTGGAAAAACTGAAGGTTTGACCGCCATCCTTTTTGGAGAGGCCAGAGCCCAGAATCCTGAGGCCACTTCGGCCAGGTTGTCAGTGACCCGAGGGTCGTTTGGACCAAAGCTTGAAGAAGGGTCGCTATTGCGGATTGGTCCTGGCCAAGGTCCTTGGCTCCCCGGCAGCAAGAAGGTTGACATCAGCACCATCCCTACGGTGCAAAGGGAAACCTTGCGAGTTGCTGCTCCAAGTTTTTTCAGGGTCCCCTTTATCGGAGATCGCAGAGAAGACTCACCAACCTTGATTGTGCAAGCCTTAGCAAATCTTGCTGAGGCACCTCTGCATGATTTTTTAGGGGGGCGCTGGAATGCCCATGAAACGAAGGATGGCAAACAGCTTGTTGCTTTTTTACGCCTGAAGTCTTCCACTGTGGCTAAACTGAAACCTCTGAGTGGCCAGTCTGGTTTGTTTTTCACTCATATTAACCCCAAAGACAAAACGGAATTTCATCCTTTTTGGATCCAGAGGAATTCCCAAGAAAATGACGAAACCTACTTTAGACGTGTTGCGGCTTTGCAAAAGGAGCGTGCTCAACCTATGATTTTCAGGTTTGGCTCTGGTGCTAACCTGGGCTTCTGCAAGAAACCCAGTGATGTCTCCCCGGAGAAAGTCAGGATGCATGTTGCTCAGGGCGTCCCCCGGGCTTGGGGGATTGGTGACTTGGAATCATTTTTGCAGTCTCAGGCATGGTCTGAAATTTCTGACCTTGTCCGCAAGCGAAACTCATGGACTTTTCGGGCAAAGGCTCCGAAAGACAATGCCACCACAGCATCTTGGCATTACGACATCGGCTCTTCCGACAGCACAGACTGGACGATCACGATTCAGGTTGCGGTCCGGGCCCCTCAGGCTCCCCAGACGAATGTTTCTCTGCGAGGACCCAGGCGAGAAGTCACCTTGAAAGAGTTTTGGCCTGCAGCCAAGGTTCCTGATCCTGAGGAATTGCCCCAAGCGAAATCTCCAACTGACTCCCATACACCAGCCGGTGTCTCACCAGTTGCAACTGAGGGTGTCCGTAGCAGTGCTCGTGACCGCACTCAACGCAGCAGGTCACCAAAGCGATCTGATGAGGTCGCTCCTACTATCCCTGAGACTCAGGAAGACGAGAGCAAAGAAGACGAAAACATGAGAAACACCGAGGCGAGTAGACCTCCCAAAAAACAGCGTTTGGTTGAACCCAGTGACCCTCAAGAGGCCCTCAGCAGTTTTGGGTGGCAGCAGTGGGACCAGCACGGAAATGGTGACTGTTTTTTTCGACATGCAAGCGTTTTTGTGAACAAGGCCAACACTCAACCTGATGTCCAGGATAGTCAGCATCACGCGGCATGGATCAGAGCGCAGGCCTGTCAGCATATCAAAAAACATTCACGCAGGTATGCGGAGCTTTTTTCAGGAAAGTCAGATTTTGATGCTTGGCTCCACAACGCAGCCAAGCCCACCACTTGGGCTGATGGTCGCACCATCCAGGCGGCCAGTGAGAAACTTGGCTGCCCAGTGGTGATTTGGAATAAGGATGGGAACACGTACACTAGATACGTGATTGCACCCAAGTTCAGCCGAGGTTTTGCTTGTGGTAGCACTGGTTGCAACCCCATTTGCCTTCTTCTCACTTCCAAACACTACACTGCCCTGGTGCCTCCCCCTACCGGTTCCGTCCCTCACAGTTGGCTTCGGGAAACTCCGGATGTTGTGATTGATCTCTCTGGCGGAGTTGGTGGTGTTGCTTCGGGTTCCGCTGGGCTTGCGCCTGTTGGGCCTTCTCCCCCGTCGGTGCGCGCTGGTGGCTCTCCTTCCCAGAGGACTTCCTCTTCTGCCGGCACCCCCTCCGTGCACTCCCTCGCCTCTCCTGCTCCCTCCATGGCTCAGGGTTCGGCGGGGCGGGTTGGCGGTTTGCTTGGCTTCTGTGCGGCTTCGTCCTCGCGTTCCCCCTCCGTGCACTCCTTGGTCCGGTCCGCTGCGTCTGTCCGCCCTGGCGTTTCCGGTGCTGTCCCCAGTGTTGCTCTGCCCCCGGTCACGCCCGTGCCCGCTCGGAGTTCTTGCGCGTCGGTCCCCACTCCGTCCGTCCGATCGGTCACTCCGGTTCGCCGCTTGCGGTCTAAGACCTTTTGTGCGGACGCTTTCGAGTCGCGCTCGTGTCCTTCGTCGGGTCATCGCTGTGTGAGCGCCGCCGGTCCTGTGTCTGGTCCTGTCACCCCGTCCGTCCACTCGGTCGTCAATCTTGCTTGTCGTCGCCCTGCGCGTGCGTCTTCTTTTTCCTCTCCTTCTCTGGGACCCCCCCCTGAAAGTGACTCCTCTCATTGCAGTGTTGACAATGGTGGGGGGAGTAGAAATAGTACCCGTAAGATTAAATGCTTGAGTCCTGAAGAGATTGCTGCTATTCCTACGGTTGATTTGCCCCCGGATATTAAAAAGTGGTGGACTTGTGATATTTGCGGATATCAATTTTTTCGCCACGTCGAAGACAAACCTGAAATCCATCGCACAAGGAGAAAACATCACTTGCGGAAGAAACATGGCATTTCTTGCAACGAAGTGCCAGAAATTGTCGCGGATCCCGCACCTGTGGGGTCTGCTATTCCACCATGTGAGAAGTTTGCCCAGGTTTTGTGCGAAGTGCTCAATTCTGAGAAGTGGCCAGGTCTCCATCAGGTCAAGCGCCCTGTCAAGCGCAAGGGCGCCCGAAACTTGGATTGGCCATGCGAGGCTTGTGGAAGAGTGTGCAGACAAGCTCAATTGGGTTCTCTAATTTGTAAGTCTTCTGATGGCGACAAGGTTCCCCAAGAAAGTGTCAGGCAGAAACTCTTCAAAAAATGCCAGAAAAAGGCCAGACAGATTCTGCAGCAAAAGGCGCAGGAGCGCACTAAACAGTTGAAGGACATCCATCTCCGACAGGAACAACAGCGGTTTGCCCATGCGAAGCAGGTCACGCCTGCGCCTTTGTTTCAAGGACTGCCGGTTTTTCCTGCGGGGAACAGGGACGGGACTGTTTGGTGGAGCTGCTCCTTTTGTGATTTTAAGGTCATTCATGGAGAGCAAAGGCATAAAGCGTCTAAGAGAATCTACCACTTGACCTCTGTCCATGGGATCAAAAGCAAAGATATCCCGAAACTTCCCAAAACCGGGTTTAGACCTACGGGGGTTTTGGCCACTATTGACACTGTTCAAAAGCGATGGATCCGGCAGCTTGAACTCTTCAAGAAGGTTCGCTGGGCTGCTGCGCATGATTTGTCGCCTGAACCTTCGGTTGTCTACCAAACCAGGCATTCCAAAAATGGAAAGCGTTACACCTCCAAGAAATTTACTTGTCTCAAATGTTCTTGCTTTGCCGGAAGTTCTGAAATCCCTGCGTCTATTTGTTCCGCGGCCCAAAAAGGTCGCCTCCCTAGTCTAGCCAAGCGAAAGGCACTATGGAAAAAATGCCGTGAAACTGCAGCCAAGGAAATCTCTGTGGATTTTTGCCAACAGGACAACCATTCCAACAAACGAAAACTTGGGTCTGATTCTGGTAATTCTTTCCCAAACAAACGTATGGCTCCTTCTTTCAGTAAAAAAGCTGACGGCAGTGCTGCCACGGGTCGGGGCCTCCGTGCTGTGCGGGTTGGAGAAGCTAAGCACCCGGGCCCGTCAGGCGACCATGGCGGCAAACTCAGATGTGTGGCTTGGAACATCAACTCTTTCCGAAATCATTTCGCGGCTATGTGTCAGGAAGCTGAGGCAGTCAATGCTAATGTGATCTTTCTCCAGGAAACGGGGATCACTAGAGGCCAAATGGTTTCTGCCATGCACTTGGCCCGAAGGCACGGTTGGCAGCTCAGTGGAACGCCAGCAGGGGCCGTTGCAGATGGCGGTCGTGGGGGCACCGCAATCCTGGTCAAAGAGCCTTTAGCCTTAGCGGATATCCATTCCACCACTGAAACTTGGGGACAACTTCAGGTTGCCGAGATCCTTGGACACAAAGTCCCCATTACTGTTATTAACGGGTATAGACGGCCCCAGCAGGCGCTTGATGCCCCCAATGAAGCGCTTATGGAATGTTTTTGTCGGAATCAGCACAAGCATTGGGTTTTTGCATGCGATTGGAACTTGGACCCTGCCAGTGATCCTTTAGCATCTGTGATGACTTCCTTTTCTGGTCAGCTGGGTAGCTCGTCCGGTCACAAACGCAGTACTCATCCCACGGACTCTGTTTGGTTCTCTCAGTCTCTCAGTTGTGAGAAGCAATCGCCCATGGATGCTCTCTCCGACCATTTTGGCTCCTTTGTTGAGTTAGGCCAGATTCCCTGCTCAGATCCGTCCCCTCCTGCATGGATTTTCAAAGCGGTGGCACGCCTCCAGGACAATTGTGACCTCCCCTCCGCGGATGAGGCTGCTCAGGCATGGCACCATGTCAGCACACCGTCTGAGGTGTGGGAAGCGTTGGTTCAACAGGATATAAATGATGCATGGTCTACCTGGTCTTCTGATGCGGAAGTTTTTCTGAAAAGAATCGGTGCAGTCAGCCATGAAAGCAGTGCTGCGCAAAGAGGGTCCCTGCCCACTCTGGTTAGCGGCCCCTCCCGACATGGCCCTGGTCAAAGCATCACGGAGAGGCGCCTCAGGCGTGTGATCCGCAGATTGGACGAAGCTCAACGGCACGTTCACAATGGCACCTCGGTCCCTACCAACTTGCAGAGAACCTGCCAGAGAAATTGCAACCAATTTGGATGCGGAGCTGATGCGCAAGCCCACAGGTGGGGGGCATGCCTCAAGCAGCTTACGGAGCAACTCAAATTTTTCCTCAAGCAGTCCAATCTGCATGCACTGCATGGCTGGCGGCAGAAGGTGCAAACTTATGACGGAGCCTGTGCTTGGCTCCGAAAGCAAGCCCCGCCCTCTTGGGCCCTCACCAACGGTGACAAGAACACGTCTGGTAGAAGTCAAGGGGCTGCGTTTTTATTTGAGTCTTAAGGATACCGTCCGTCAGATGAGACGGAAGGCTGCCGGCCCGGACCAATGGTCTGCTGAAGCTTTACTGCTGCTTCCCGACATGGCTTGGGAGCGATTGACAAAGCTGCTTTTGCAAGTCGAACAGGTAGGAGAGTGGCCTACCCCGCTGGTGCAGTGGCGGCTGACATTTCTACCTAAGGTTTCTGCTGACAAAACTGGTGTTACCCATGTGGCCAAGGTGAGGCCGATTGCCATTGGATCCCTCATCTACAGGGCCTGGTCCAAGCACAGGTTCGCCCAGATCAGTCCTGGCCTGGTTGGTTTGCTGCATCAGAGACAAGTTGGGGGGTTGCCAGGCATTGGCGCCGAAATGATGCTGGCCGCTCTTCAGAACCAAACTGATGCCACTACTCACCCTTACGGCATGAGTTTGGATTACAAGAAAGCTTTTGATTCGGTCGACTATGTGATCTGTCTTCGTCTCTTCGAAGCACTCGGCATCCCGGGTCCCATTCTCAAGGCGCTCGGGGCGGCTTGGGATCAGCAGACAAGGTGGGTCACATTTGGCCAATGTGTCCACCCCCAACCTATAGTCCAGTGCCCAGCTTTGCTTCAAGGTGATCCTTTTGCTCCTCTTGGCATGGCCGTCATCTTGGCACCTGTGCTTCGCCAACTGCAAGCTCTTCACCCAGACATCTTCACGGTCACGTACATTGACGACAGGACTTGTTTGTGCCCGACTGTTGCTGATCTTGATGTCGTCAACAACGTTTGGTCTACCATGGAGTCCTTTTTGCGGCTCCGCACGAATGAGGAGAAGAGTCAAATCTGGGCTCGCTCTCCTGAGGCTTTGGCAAAGCTGGATAACACCCACTATAGCTCCAATGCCAGCTTCACCATGCAGGTCCTTGGGGCTACGCTTGGTCCAGAGGAACGTGCTCTCTCAGACCGTGAAAGGGACACGTTGCTTGATGTCGCTCGTCGTTCCAGGCGCATTGCTTGTTTGCCTGTGAGTGCTCGCCTCAAAGGTCGCTTGGCAGCCACCGTGTTGGGGCCCAAAGCAGTGTGGGGCCATGTGATAAACGGTCGCTGCCCGACCCAGAAGGATATTGCCTGCTTCTTCCGTCACTACAAGGCGGCGACAAGTGACAACCGGTTTGTCAAAGGGCGCTCGTCCATGGACCTCAAGCGGGCTTTCTTCTTTGGTCACACTTGCGACCTGGCCTTCTATGGGGCCCTCCGCACCATCAGTTCGGGTTTTGCCTGGGCACGTCACTGTGCCAGCTTGGGCGAGAACTGTCGCTGGAGCCAGTCTACGGTGTTTTGCCTCAATAGCATCCTGCAAGACTTGGGTTGGTGTGCTCATAGCAATGCTGTCGGCCAGAGCGGGGATGTCCCTTGCATTCATTTTGGGGCAGTGAAGGCTGAAGTTGACAAATGCCTCCATCACATTCGAGACGCTTGGCGTTTGAAAAAAGTGCGTCAGTGGTTGTCGCACCGCACCAGGATTGATAGTGGGATAGGTCGTGATACCAATCTTATCATTTCCGAGCCTCTGATTAAAACTGTCAGATCTATTCTCAGAGATTGTGATGCTCATGTTGTCTCTGTTGCCTGTGGAGGTTTCCAAACTGTCTCACTTGATTTTGAGAGACTGCATCAAGGGGTCGCTCCTGTTCAGCAGTGTCCGTATTGTTTGCAGCTTGATGTTCCTGGCGTCATTCATGTCTTGTGGAGCTGTCAGGCTTTTTCTCATTTGAGGTTGCTTCCGCAGCCTGAGTGCCCTCTCGCCTCCAGGATTGGTTGGAGCAGCTCCCATCAAGTCACTAAGGATCTCTTGGTGCAGATGGGCACAATCCGGGCAGCTGAAGCTGCTCGTCGTTTGGCACCTGCGGGTGCTGGCTGAGGCTGAAGCGTGGCTTCCTTGGGCTGCTATGCACTGTGTTCTGCTGCTTGCGGCGGTGCATGGGCAGCATGCGGCGCGCGACTACACAGGGCCTCGATGTTTTGGATGTGGAAAAACGCCATCTTGGCCCCCAACTTCAAAGTGTGTTTGCGCCCCATCTTCTCATCCGACGTTGCATGTGACATCGATGCCACATCATGAGGGGCATCATCAGGATCAATGCCATACCTCCCTTGCGAGCCAAAAACCCATTGCCTCGGAGAGAAACCTGACCGATTTCTCAAGGTGTTACGGGCCTCACTTATCGCACAGGCTGCTTCATAAAGGTCTGAGTCCAACAGAGTGTGCTCCTCCAGCAATCGATCCCACATCATCTTCCACGCCCCACCGTACCTCTCGGCGATGCCGTTCTGCCAATGGGCTTGACCTGCAGCACAACGCATCGCAATTCCATCAGCGTTGGTGGGGTCCCAAAAGCTATCCCGGAAGCAGGTGTCTAAATCCAAAACCAGCTTCCCGGGGATGCCTGCCCATGCTGCCCAGTACTTGTAGAAGGCATCCGCGACTGTGTCGGCTCTGCGATTTGGAATGGGCATCACTACCTGATAAGAGGAGGCTATGTCGACCATGTTCAAGGCTAAGTGCCCCTTGCTTTCTGCCGTGTCAAGGAAGATGATATCCAGCGCCACGGCATCGTTAAAGTCCAATAATGCCGTGGGCTTGGCGACTCTCTGTGGAGGGGGCTTGGTGCAACGTGCACATGTCTCGCACTTCATCCCCGCAGCTGCCTCCACCATAGCTTGATTTGCACCACCCAGTCGGAGATGTCGCACCAATTCCCTGTTGGTGGGGTGCCCCAAGTTTTGATGCAACCTCTTCAGGGCGCCAGCTACTCGCCCAGATACAGCACCTTTGAACGTGATGCCCTTGGCCCCAACTTGTTCCACCAACTCCTCTTCGACAGTCTCCACCAGCTCGCCACCTGGCTCATCCGAGCCAGCAGCCTCAGACACCCATGCCGTCTGTGTGGGGAGTTGTTTGACGACACCAGCCACGGCTTCTGCGAAGTCCATCGTGTAGTGGGCCGAATGGCTGGTGTCTCGGCCTTGAACTGGCCGATGGGGGTGCGGTTGTGCGCACCGCTTGCCAAGTCCCTCTTCAAAGCTGGGGTGAGTCGTCATCAGCTTGGTGCCTTTCTTCAGGTACTTGCCCTCCTCCGTCACTGACTTAAGTTCAAACTGGCACATGTCGAGGTTGAAGTTGTTGACGCCCTCATCAGCCATCCACCTTGCTATGGTGGGATTGCGCCAAAGGTCGGAGGTGCTGGGATTTTCCACCACCACGTGGCCTCCATGCTTTCGTTGCGCCACCATCACCTCGTCGATCAACTGCAAAAAGGGTTTGTCTTTTGCCCTCAACCGTCGCCTCTCCTGCTTGGTATAGTTGAGCCTGGAGAAGGCGCACCAATGTGTGCACGGTGGAGCCATCCACACTACCCGTGGGCGCTCTTCTTCGATCTCTTTCAGCACTGCCTGCCGCACTTCAGGATCGCGTAGATCGTCTCCATAGCGGAGGTCTCGAGGACGAAGCACTGCCATCTTCTTCTTCGCGCAAGCCGCAGAGATTTCGGCCTGCCCGGCAAAGATCTCCAAACAGTCTGCGATGCGGCAGGCTTGATTGCCACAAGTTGAAGTCACCACCTCCTCTGCCATGCTGCCGACCACCGCAGCGCACGTCACCAGCACAGACATGAGCTGCTTGCCCATGTGAGCCACCTTTCTCCTTGTCGACGAATTGATCTTCCGCGTCCGCATGCCCTGCTTGGCCTTCTGCTTCGGAGACAGCCCGGCCGGGCTGCGGTCATAGCTCTCACCCACCTCGGCGTCACCCCGCCGCTCATAGTTCTCATAGTCAATTGCCTGCACCGGCCCGATGCCACAGTCATACATCATCTCGCGCCCGCCATGCAAGAGCCCGATGCCCTCGTTATACTCCGCGGCGCCACCACCACCATGCTCAAGCCCGACCGTCTTGACATACTCAATCTCGTCACCACCACCACCACATGCAAGCCCGATCGTCGTGTTATACTCAGTGCCACCGCCACCAGTGCTGTGCTCAAGCCCGATCGTCTTGTTATACACAAAAGCCTTCCCATCGTCCACCTCCGCATCCGACGAAGATGGAGACCTCGACATAGCACGCCAACCGGCATGGACCGCTCGCTTCACTGCTGCGATCCCAGCGCCCGCCCACCCGGGGGCAGATGGTGTTCCCGGCGAAGAGACGCCGCTCGAGCATCCAGCGTTTCCAGCTCGTCCACCACTTCCACCGGAACTTGCACATCCATGCCGTCCGTGATCTCCACCGTCTCGGCCTCCCGCTTGCCCCTGTTGGGACTTGCCTTCTGCTTGGTCTCCGCCACTTTGCCCGCGTTCGAGGCCTTCGGCGCGGAACTGCTGGTCTTCCACGTCATGACGCTGCCCGCACTCTTGACTGAGGCATCCATCTCCGGGACCGGAATCACTGCAGACACCTCCGGGTCCACGGACACCCCCACGTCGTTCTCCGCTTTGGCTTTGCGTGAGGCCAGTTCGCCCCGACTCCAGTTGGCAAAGTGCACCAGCTCGGGGCTGGCCCCCTGATTTGCGTCCACCTCTTGAACCGCCCACTCCAGGTAGTTCTTAGGAACCTCCTTGAACATCCACGTCTTGTACTTGCCAAACGTCATCAATTGATCCCCGCTCGGCATCTGGTTCTCGCGCAACAAGCGCATCAGCAGGCCGCGGGAGGGTTTGTCCGGCATCCTGATGTTCAGCTCCACTGCTTTGCTCTTCAGCTCTTCGAGTGACATCTTGCTGATGCCCTTCATGGCTGTCACCTCCTGAGAGGAGACTGCACCCTTGTTGTGTTCCACCAAGGTCGCCCGAAGTTCGGGCACAGTCCAGGACGGATGGACTGGGATCTGCCTGTCGTGCAGTTCCTTCAGCAGCTCGGCTCGGTTCATCTTCCATGGCGAAGTCCGAGCGGCAGACATTGACTTGAGCGGTGGGCTGCACGGCACGCTTGGGAAAAACACTGCGGCCGATCCACAATCCACCAACTGCAGTAAAAACTGAAGGACTGTCAGGTCTTTGCCAAAGATCATGTTGAACATGTGCAAGATTTCCTTCGAGATGACATGGGATTGCTTCAGTCGTTCTCCTAAAGTCCAAAGAATCCAAAAGTTGAGATTTGAGCGATGTCAAGCTGGTGTTCCACTTTGAAGGATCAAAACAATCTTTGCGGGGGACCACATGCACTCGTATGAAGAAATTCTCAGTCTCGACCCAAAAATCACGGCTTTGATTTGCCCCACGCCACCAAGTGAAAAACGATGTCTTGGCCAAAACTGCATGTGATAGCATGTTGTGAACTTCAGCTGAAACTTTCTTGGGATAAAATAAAGTTCTATGTGGCTTGACGCAAACACTCGGACCAGCAGCAGTGTATTGCTCGGATGCTTCTCGGTAGATCTGCACATCAGGGTCCTCAGCCCAATTGCAGCCCTCTTCACAGTAAGGCTCAGGATATTCCGAAACCAAAAGTGCCGGGTGCCCTGTCTCTGAAAAACGCAGAGACACCCCTTTCAAATCAAGCCGCTGCAAATCTACCTGATGAGAATCTACTGCATAGACCATGCCAAGTTTGGCCAGCACGGTCCTACTGAAAAGCAAAGGAACTCTACAACTGACTATGGCGACCTTCACCTTGATGAGCTTGTGACCAATCCCAAAACGAGCCCACACTGCAAAGGTCGAGTCATGAATGCGGGATGCTCCAAACTTGAACTTGTCAGCCTCATTCACTATTTCAATGGGGATCCCCTTGCGCTCGGCCACCTCACAGTAGCTCTCATACCATGCATGCCCTGCCACTGCCTTGGTGCACGCCGTGTCGGCGATGGCCAAGAGCTCACCGCCTGCCACTTCCAAAAGGTGATCACCCCCTCGGCCTCCTTCTCCAGCTTCAACTCCATGTGAGCCTGCAGACATGAAGCACATCTGCACATGATGAACATTCGTGCTCATCTGGGCGTTCTTCACCTGGGGGGCCGAAGAAGATGCCGAAGACGTCGACTGTCTCAAAGGGCACTCCGGGTCTTTATGCCAATGCCCCTTCCTCTTGCATGCCCCGCAATAACTGCGGGCTTTCGCCAGCTTCAACCTCTCCTCGCTTCGTTTCCGAAGCTCATCTCGGTCGACGCCTCTCCCTTTGAGCGCCTCTCTGTACTTCGACTTTGCGTCCTGGTAGGCCATGAATGCATCGTGATAGGTCATGGCCACCTCCTCTGTCACGAGCTCCGCGTCAGACTCATCTTCCGAAGGATGGCCATCATCACTGACCTCGCCACCCTCCGGGATGTCCGTCATGTGCACTGATTGCCGGCCCTGCCAACGTCCTCCAGCTGCACGGGGTCGAGGCTCCCACGCTGTCTTGCGCGATGTCCTGTCATGGATGATGGCCGCCTGCTGCAAGAGCTTGAGGTCATACTTGTTGCCAACCGAAGCCAAAATGGCCAGCTCATCGCCTTCGTTGAGCCGCAGCCGATCCAAGTAGAGCCATGCCTTCACCAACTGCGGCAATTCGCAGTTCAGTTCTGTCAAGTGCAACAGCAAGCGCTCGAAGACCACGTTGAAGTCCCTGACCGACTGCTCATGAGAGCGCCGGCATTTCCTGAAAAGCTCTGTCATCACACTCGATACCTTGTTCACCTCCATCTCCATGAACCTGACGCGGACCCAATCCACAAAGTAGTCCATCCCAGTCGGACTGCCAAGGATGTCCACGTCAAGCTCCTCAGCGCACACCCAAGCCTTTCCACCAAGGTGCGTGTAGAGAGCCAAAGCCCTCTCACGCTCCGGCAACTTCGTACATTTGGCCCAGGCTTGGACCTTGCGCAAGTACGACCTGGCCGTCTTGCCAAGCTCTGCCTCCGTACCCTCGCCATCAAACTCAGGCACCATCATCTTCTCAGTGGGCTTTCCCCAACTGTCACCTCCATGTTGTTGATCTCGGCCCGCATGACTGCCACTGTAACCGCTACCATGCCACCGACCATCATTGGCAAGAGTGGTCTCCTCAACCCTGGCCATGTAGTTTGGTCGCTGCCCCTGGTCGCCCACAGCCCAGCCACCATTGGGAGTCCAGCGCCACTCGTACTTCCACCAATCATCATCCCGTGCTCCGGATCCACTGCCTCCCGAGCTATCAGGCGGGGTAAGTCTCTCCCAGCCGCTCCATGGGTCTGATGATTCCTGACCACCTTGCCCACCAGAACCTCGATCATCACCAGGAGGTAGCGAAGCTTCAGATGCCTCCGCCGCCTCTTCCGGCTCGCCCGATTGTTGAGACGCTCCAGACTCCGTGGGAGTCCTCTGAGGCCGCGAGCGCCGGCTTCTATTGCCCGCGCCACGCCACACCTGCGCCATCCACCTCGGCGTCACCAAAGACGCCTACAGCAACGGTGCCCTTCTCCCTGAAGTAGGTCTCTCCAATCGGGATCCCAAAGGTCTCCGCAGAAACGTCCAGCTCCGATGCCAATGTCAAAGTGCAAGTCCAAGATGCACAGACATGGCTTTTCACGCCTGAGTTCCAAAGTACCTTGTGCCTGTACGGCCGCGACGAGCGGCACAAATCCCTAAGCTGTGTCAGGGGGAAATGCACATGGATCAATGGTGCTACATGGCATGTATGAGCAGCACAACATACAATGTGACATTGACAACCCCAATTGCATGGTCCCAATGGAATGTGGAAATTCCCTACATCCACCATGGTTTCGTTTAGGGGTGTTTAATATAAACGTGGGAAGGGATTAACAAATCATTATTGACCATTATATATTTATAACCATTATTCATCATTATCAACCATTATTAACCATTATTAATCCTTGGTTACCCTCACTTTTGTAAGGCACTGGGATGCCCAGCGTTCTCCTCTTGCGCCCAAACCGGCCAAGAGAGTCCGCAGCTCAGCGGCAGCAGCGCACTGCTGGGACTGGCCTCCGGCCGCCGCAAAGCGCGCAACTCCAACCTGCGTGGCCAAGGCACCATGGTGGACAACCTGAAAATGGTGAAGATACACCCAAGTTATGGATTAGTTATGGTCATTTTGAGAAAATGATTTTCTGAACCATTTTCTGACGCATCAAATTGGGGGGTATCAAAATGACCGTTTTTGAGAAGAACCCAAATTTGTAGATCATCTACCCATTCGTCTACTAAAAGTGGAGAAGGTATGTAGTCTCTGGTCCCCAAGGCGGCCAGGGGCAGACCTCAGCTGGGAGAAACCTCTCGTCTCTTCAAGAAGCTTGAGGTTCAATGGATGTTGTTTTGCAGACCCTGCAGTGACCCCCAAACAAAAAAAACACCAAAAAATTCTGAGTTCAGTAAAACCAATGATGCTATTCTCCCACATTCTGAATTTGCGACTGTAGCACTGTAGCTTTCATCCAAGCTGTTTCGTCAAGAAACTGTCCCATTTTCGGCCTGGATGGAGATAGAAAGCTGAGTACTCCAAAGCCATGGAGTACAGCAAACACCTCCGTTCGTTCGCCATGGAGACACTCTGAGCTCAGCAGGTCAATCTCGAAAATCCCCCAGAAATCGCCAATGAAAATTGCACCAATATCATCAAGATATGTCGTTGGCTATATCTCTGACATTAGGGTTTGCTGATACCCCAGTCTCAATGAAAAGCTCAAAGAAGTTGCGAGTCACAACGCATCATGCCGCGGCGTTTTGCTCGATGCGAGAATTGGCTCAATTGGCCGTCTTGGGAAATAAATGTTCCGGCAAAAGTGACGTGTCATGTGCAATGATGTCAATGCCTGCAGAGTCAACGGGACTGCTTGGAATCAATTTTAACACTGGTCTTTGTTGTTGACTCTTGCCGTAATTGGACCCATGGCATTTGGCACCATTTGCACAGGATTTCTCTAAGATCTGAACTGAGTTTTGTCAGTCCGTCTGCAAATTGCAGCTTCGTAGGGATCCATCTAATCGCTGCTGGTGCGTGGTTTTGTTGTACAGCTCGAATCTGCACCATACTACGTTTATCTGTCACAGCCGGGTTTTCAGCTACCAAACAATCGTATAACGATTTGGCGTCTGTGCAAAGTAATGAATTCAGTTTCAAATCGCCGAGGTACGCTGCCTTTTGGTAAAGCAGCTCAGACAAAACTAAATTGGCAAAGCAAGCTCTGTCTGAGGCCTCATCGCATGCACAAGCTTCAGAAGCCAGCGTTGATCTGCAAACCCGTGGAGATCTGCCTGATTTCCAGTCCAAAATGTGGGCATGGCAAGTGGTCTCGGTCACTTGTGCAGAGGTGATGGTGACGACCACACCGTATTGTGATTTATGGCACCTTGCATTTGCCCAACTTGAATCCGAGTATGTGACCAATGTCGAAGCTCGGTTCAAGAAGATTGGAGGAAAGGTCAGCCCGCAGTCTGCAGTTTGCTTGGCAAAGGCGATGCACTCGTAGAGGTGCTTGAGGTCGTGGATGTCGGTATCTGCTCCACGATGAGCCAAAGATGTCGCTGCGCACAACTCAGGTCTCGTTTGACCTCCAAGCCATTGCAAGCATCCGCAGACGGAGCGGAATTCTTTGCGTTCTTCGTCAGAAAGTTCAGGAGGCTGTCTGAGCCTTCCAACACGCAAGTTTCCAGGCGCTAGGTTCTTAATGAAGCTTTTCTGTGTGACTTTGTAAGAGACTTTGTTGTCTTCCACAATCATTTGGATCTCCTTTCCTCTGAACTCGCCTGGTGTGTCGGGGGTGATTTTGGTCACACTGCCCCATTTGAACATACCTTCAAGCAACTCCAGAGGGAAGGTCTCAGAGTACACTGCAAGCATGTCGTCAACGTGCACGATCATCAGAGCATCTAGCAAGCCATCTTCGCCAACATGATAGTACAAGCAGCGATCGAAGCTGTGCTGTTTGAAGTCGCAGCCTCGAACTACTTTGTCAACACGCTTGTACCATACCCTGGGGGCGTTGGCCAAACCGTATGCATTTGAAGTCACTTCGTACAGCGGTGCTGGGAAGGCTTCTGCAGCTTGTATGATGGCGTCTTGAGGAGGGGCCATGTACAACGGGAGGCCTTTCCTCTCGGAGCTGTCTTGAGTCCCCTGCAGGAAGGCCTTCTCGGCGTCGCTGATCCAAATTGACCATCGTCGCCCATCACCATTGAACATACGATTTGCTCCAGCAGATGCCACAGACATCAGTATGTACTCGGACAGCCTTGTGGGTGTTGGGCTGTCCCTACTGAGACTATGTAGATCCGGGTCTTGGCAGCCAATGAGCACGACCCTGCATTTTGCTTTGATTTCTCCAATGCCTCTGCTTTTGTCACGGTAAGCAGAACGAGATCGGAGGATCCGACGGCGAAGCTTGGGGTCCTTGTAGATCTCGTTGGCTTCTGCTTGAGTGAGAGGTCTGATGGAATTCCATTGCAGCCATCCATTGTATTCATTCACAGCTGCTTCAATGTACTTCTCGCGGATCATGGTTGGGAGTGCCCAAACTTCTCTCCAAGGTAGTTCTCTGTCCAGCTGCTTCATCTCCTGTCTGGTGAGATTTCGATCATTCGAAATGGACAGGTCTTCATCCGAGCTGCTGTTATCAGCCCTCTCAACGTCCTTGCTGATGCCAGCGTTCATCATCTCGACTTTGCGCTGGTCACTTGCAAGGTAGGCGTTGTAGGCGCGTTGCGATGGCATAGCTGGACTCGCGAAGTCAGGGCTGCCATCCCAGCCATGGAGTCGTTGGTGAATGCTTCCATCATCCATCGTCTCGAAGTTGGACATGTAGGCCTGCTCAGGGCCTGGCACAGAGAAGGCCTGCTCAGGACCTTTAACGCAGAAGGCTTGCTCAGAGCCTTTAGCACAAGGGGCCTGCTCAGGGCCGTAGGCGCAATGGGCTTGCTCAGAACCCAGAACACAGAAGGCCTGCTCAGGACCTCGTAGTGATAGTGATGCTTCTGCTGTGCTTGTTTGCGGTTGTTGCTCGATCGGAAGTGTTGTTTGTGGTACTCCTGTCGCTGGTCTTTGTTCTGGTTGAAATCCAGTCCTCGTTGGCGTTCTGGATCTTGCTCTAGCAGTCCTTGGCGTTGGTGGATTCATTCCAAAGTCAGCACGTGGGCCAAAGTTCTGGTATGTTGGTGAGTTGATGTTGATATTCTGGTAGTTTTGTTGGAAGTTCTGTTGTAGATATTGCTGCTGCTGTGTACTTTGCTCGTAGTGTTGTGATATTGGTAAGTGGGTGTCATACCGCGGTTGCATAGGATGTTGTAGTGATTGTAGTGGTGTTGGAAGTTGTTGGATTGCATCTTGTACACGTTCTCCAGGAGGGATGCTTTGTGGCACATCGGCCATGCTGTGTGGCATGTGTTGTTCCTGGTTCAATATTGTTTGTTGTGGTGGTGGCCCAGGAGTGTCGATCATAGGAACACCGGGTTCATCTTCAAGTCGTTGTGGAAATTGTCGCCGGAATTGGAAGATGTCGGCTTCAATATCGGCTGCATCTTCTTCTCTGGGGCCATCTTCGACTTCATCGCTCCAAAGGCCTTGAGCGATGTTGTTCTCAGCCTGTCTGATGAAGTTGAGGTCATCAGATGTTGGTGTCCATGTCTCCCAACCTGCAGCTTCTCGGACCTGGGTGTTGCCAATGCGGATGGAGTTTTTGCCAACTTGCACCCACATAGATTTCCGATCTGGGTCGAGTGCAAGGAAACGTCCAAGGCACCATGCTCCACGTTTGTGTTGGCGAGCTTTGGCGCTTTGTCTCCAAAAGGCTATTGCCTGGCCAGGTTCGAGGTGGCTGAAGTCCTTTTGGTTTCTCGTCTTTCTCAGCAGTGCTCGACGGATGGCCTGTGAAGCAGAAAACTGTGCCAAAGCTGTCACAGCTTCTGCTCGCAGGAGTTCAGGCCTCAAAGACAGCTGAGCTCCTTCAAGTGGAGGAGTAATGGCTAGGGCCTTTTCGTCCGACAGCAGGTCTCCAACTGGTCGGGGCATTCGTCCAAAAACTGCCTGACATGGTGAACGACCATAACTGTAGGTGGAGTTGTTCATGCTGTGGAGCACTGCAGTGAGAATGTTGTTGAGTTGGTCTTTGTTGGTGGCACCGTTCTGGTCTATCAGCCTCTCAGACAGAGTTCGCATCAGGGCATTTCTTCGGCCAATCTTGCCGAGCTTGTGAGCTTCTTCGGCAGGAATGATGTCAAACTCAACGCCAATTTGTTGATGCCATTGTTCATTGACACCGTAGAAGGCTGTGTCTGAGTCGACTGTGATGGAAATTGGAAGACCGAGTGGTCGGTACCAAATCTCCTGCATGACTTCGAGAAGGTGCTCAGGGCTCCTATTCTGCAAAGTCTTCGCTGCATGGTAATTGGTGGACATGCAGACCATTCCAAGTACTGGACATGCGTATCCGTCTAGAAGTCGAATGTAGATGATGTCAGCTTGGAGGTGTTCTCCAAATGCGCCAGCATATCTCGATGCACTTGCTGTTGAGGAAGTTGGTGGCTTTGTGGGCTTTGTGAGCCTCTTGCAAGTGCCACATCTCAATGCATCAAGTCCAGCAAGAATCTTGCCGTCAAGTTTGCCCGCAGCGGCAAGAATGCGGATGATCTCGGTCTTGGGAGCGTGACCAAGATTACAATGAAGTCTTGCCAAAGAGCTCCTCATCTCTCGGGACATTGGAGGACCACCTTCGAAGTAGATGTCAGTGTTGAGACCTGCTACCTTGGCAGTGGTAGGGATCTCGCGGTCATCATCAAATTGAAGTCGTTCCGCTGGTTCTTCTGGAGCTTCGCCATAGAAGAAGATTGCCGCTCGAACAGGGTTGATAAACTTCTGTTTCGGGTATGGCACTGATGTGAGGTCTTCATGCTCAATGGCGAACCTTCCACCAGTGTCGCGGTATGCACAGCCGCGGTGGGTGAATGGCACTTCAGTTGGCCATCTTCGTTGGCCAGGCAGCCAGGCCAACTGAATGCGGTTAAGCTTCCATGGAACCAGCTCTTGAACTTGTTGGTAAAGAATGTCTCCTTCGGCCAGGATCAGAGGTCGTTTGCTGGTGTTCTCGAACCTCTTCTCAGCTTCATTCAAAGCAGCCGTCCAGTCCTCTTCATGAGTTGTTGGGGCCGCGTAGTACACCTCGTGGTTGAGTTGGAACCTCTGGGGGTTTCGGAGGCGTGCTTCTTCACGAAGGCCCTCAAGGATAGCACAAGCAAGTCCATGACAGTACTGTCCTGAGGCCTTGGTGTGGCGGCCTTCCACTTTGGTGGTATACATCTTCTGCTCTGGGGTGAGCTTGAGTGAAAGAAGTCGAGCCAGAATGGGGCTGTTGGTGATGAACCTGTGTGGCTTCGCAATTGGCTCGCCAGTGACTGTTTCAGCCCCATACGCACCAGCATCACATTCCACCTCAATCACATCTGGCCGATTTCGGAGGCGAACAACACGGGGCTCGTCCCAAATGGCTGATCGTAGAGGGTTCTCACCTAGGAACAGCCGGTCTTCATCCATTTGTTTCTCAGCCAGGTCGCAACCAAGGTCGACCAATGGGCGGTCGGACTCACGGAGTTCTTCAAGTTCATGCAACCGCCAACTGTAATTCATATTCTGGTTGAAGATGCTCCAGAAAGTGCATGGCCATGCTATCAAAGTGAGCAGTGGCCTGAACTGATCAACTGTTTGATGGAGTTGGTGGACAACATGGCGATCTTTGAGATCTTGGCCATAGAGTAGGTCGAAGGGTTGGAGAGCTGAAAGTCCAAAGCTCAATGCAAGGTCTGTGACAATCCCCGTGCCGGCAAAGACCTCGAGAAAGTCCATGAGGTCGACCTTGCTTCCAGCCCTTTTATAGTCATGATGACTGGCCAAGCATTCATAGGCATCAACTTCACGCTGGTACGTCTTCTGGCAGGCTCTCAAATAGCCGGTCAGCCAAATTCGATTCCCTGTCTTGGACGCACCAGTGGATGTCTTTGTCTTCATTCCAGAAGGCTCCAGTCGTAGTCCGAGTCCCCGTCCTCTTCCATGGATCGGCTCTGCCTCTTTGATGGGCTCTTCTTGGGCTTGGCTCCACGCTTGGCTGCAGCTTTCTTGGCAGCTGCTGCTGAACTCAAAGGCTGGTCCTTGATGGCGTGTGGTGTCAAGTCCCAGGTCTTGAGTCCCATCGATGCAGCTGGTGTGTAGGCCTTGTCCTGGAACACTGTTGCCGTAGATGAGGACGGTAAAGGCAGCTGCTGCTGTCTTGAGGAGACTTTTGGTTCTGTCCACAGCTTGGCGTCGTCGTCCCAAGTCCATTTCTTGCCGCACTGCAGGCACTTGCTGTACCGCCCGTGCTTGTTGCCCGACCGCTGAAGCTGGTCGTGTGGGCATGGGCCTGTCGCCCTGGTGAACAACATCTCTTTCTCCTCCATGTGCAGCGGATCTTGGTAGTGCAGCCAGGACCTGTTGCGGATCCTCAGGCGACACGCCTTTACCATAACTTGTGCCAGGATCATCTCTGCCTGGAAGATGGTGGCCACAAAATTCTTCCAGCGCTGAAGCCATAGAGGTGGAGCTCGGACTGATTCCATGGGCGTGTTCTTGAACACCTGCTTGATCTTGCTTGAGCACTGATGGGGACACGCACAAAAATTCTGGATCACGGTCAGCTTCATCACTCAAGGTTGCCAACTCGTTCCAACATGAAAACTCGTGCGCATGTTGTGAAAACGCAGCAATGTCTAATGCCAAATGACCATTGATGACTGCAATGGGAACATCGCATCCAAAAGTGGCTAAATGAGCTCGCTGCCTGGGCAAGTCCAAAGTGGCTTTGAGCTTCTTTGCTAAAAAAGAACATTGCTGCCTAAGAGTGGGATGTCATTGGAGGTCTCAATGATGCAGGCACCCAGCAGTGAACAAGTACTGGAGCTGCCATCAAAACATGCTGGAAGATATGCATGCTGCTTGCTGTACTGAGTTGGCCCGTGCCCAAATTCAAAAGGTTCATGACATTCTGAAAGCTTAGCACGGAACCGAAGGTTCTCCACGTACGCCTGCCAGGAAGCAAACCATGTTGAGCTACAGCAGGTACGTTGACATGCAGTGTCCAGCACAACGAAATGGTCAAAGCTACTCAAGTTTGCTGCATAGATCTGGTGCAAATTGTGGCCGGGTGAAGAAACCATAAAAGTGAAGTATGTGCCGAAGGCTTCCTTCTTGGTGGTTTCCGCAGCTGCTTGCCGTGCAACACCATCAGCATGCACAACGGTCATCACCTTTTTCGCACCGGAGAACTTGCGGTCATCCTGGTTGCTAGATTTTGCACCAGTCTTGCCACCACCTTTGGAGTCAGCTGCATTGCCAGCTGAATTGTTTGAGTGAGGGCATTCTGGATCGCCCTGCCAATGACCTTTGGCGCCGCATGCTGCGCAATGCGACGTTTGTTTCCGCTCAGCTATTGACTTGTTGCCTTGGCCAGAAAATTTCCTGCCAAGTCGCAGCCCACTCAAACGTCTGGCTGTGACGGTCAAGCAGTGTGCGGCTAGCTCAAGGTCAGCATCTTCCTGTGGTGCTTCATCAGCATCATCTTGATTGTGATTGGCTGCATCGCCACCTTCTTCATAGTCTTCTCCCTGATCTTCAGCTTCGTCATGAGCAGCTGCTTCTCCATCCTCTTCGTGGTGTTCCTCCTGAGCATCTTCTGTGTTCTCGGCAACGTAGGCACTGCGGACATATGAGTTGCCCTTGCCTTTGGAGTCGGAAGGTTTACCCTTGCCGTATTGCTTACCACTGCCTTTGTTGCCTTTTCCCTGTGCAGGACGGTTGTCAGATCGAGGTTGCTGTTGTTGGCCGGAGTCTGGTCGGCCACCTCTGTCGAACTCACGGTTCTGGACAACATATGGGGCTGCACGGTGCTCAGGAAACTGGAGAATTGCTGCTTCTTTCACGTCTTCATAGTGCAAGCTCTGGCCACATCCGATGAGAATCATCCGCTGCTGCTCCAAGTTGAGTCGGAGTCGGTCAAGCAGCCGTGCACCACGGCTTTCACTGTCGTACATCATGTTGACATTGACTCCAATTGCCAGCAGTGAACGCTCACATCTGTGATATCTATTGCAGAAACTTCGGACACTCTCTTGGGGATGGCGCTGAATCACTTCAAAGTCCCACAGGTACTGGCGCTTGAGGTAAACCTCTCTCGTCTTCAGGGGTCGTCTAAGCTGATCCAGAATAAAGTCAATTCCGGTATCGCAATCTATCTTGTCCAGATCAGCCCATTCCAACTCCTCTTCCATCTCACCTTTCAGGTTAACATACAGCATAAGTGCCGCTTCGCGAGGTGGAAGATAATGACTCACCTGAAGGCGCCACACCTGAAGTCTGCGCTCCCACTTCTGGAATGCACGAAGGTCTGTTGTTGCATAGTGCCATACAGGAGGCGCTGGAGGTTGGCCACTTCGATATTTGACTCCAGGGGCCGGACCTTTGTCTATGGTCCAGTCTGCATTCTTGTCCTTGGTTGCCTGATTACCAAGGTTTCGAAGCATCTCATCTCGCCACATGTCTGAGCTGCTTCTCGTTTGTTGCGGCGAAGGCACTGCATTGCCAGCAGGGACAGCATTGCTTGCTCGGTTTGGGGTCGTTTGGGTTGCCAGTCTCGCAGGAGTTCCAATGGACACAGGAACAGACTTATGACTGCCAGGGCCTTGTCCACGATTGCCTGCAAGAGCATCTCCAGAAGGACCTGCAGCTCGTCGAGCTCGACGTCGTTCACGCCTGCTAGTCCTGGCAGACATAGTTTCAGGGTTCACGCACGGATCATCGGTGAGCTGCTCCGATTCAGCTTGCTTCTCACTGCCGGCTTCATGATTGGGCTCATAGGAATGCATGGAATTGCGGACAGCTGTTGAACATGTAGTGCTTGTGGTTGCATCTGCTAAAGATCCCTTACGGGGAACAAACACCCAAGTGCCTGCGGAAACACCGCTTGAGGCCATGTTGCTCTCGAAAAAGCGGGTTCCACCGCATGCAGCACATCGGTATCCATCAGCCATACGCCTCCAATCAGGGCTATAGCAGGAAGCACACAACCACTGTCCAACTGCATCGTCCTCTCTGATGGGTTCCAGGAGCGGCACATCGTCATCGCTCGGATCGTCCATCAAGTTGCTAGAATGAAACCCATCTGAAAAGCCATGCGAGGTCCAGGGATCATTCAAAAGCAAAGGGTCATCGTAAAAGTCGATAGGCTCCGCTCTACCAACTGACATTAGGGTTTGCTGATACCCCAGTCTCAATGAAAAGCTCAAAGAAGTTGCGAGTCACAACGCATCATGCCGCGGCGTTTTGCTCGATGCGAGAATTGGCTCAATTGGCCGTCTTGGGAAATAAATGTTCCGGCAAAAGTGACGTGTCATGTGCAATGATGTCAATGCCTGCAGAGTCAACGGGACTGCTTGGAATCAATTTTAACAATATCAAATATCCAGGAAAAAATGATGTCCATTATATAATTATCCATTCAAAATGATGATTTCCATTCTCATCGTTCATGATTATCCATTATCATCTAATGATCCAATTGATATTTCATATGGGTAACTATTGACTGACATTCATTGATACGGAGGTTTCCTAAAATGCTGGTAGCCCCAAACCATGGGTTCCAATACTAAAATGATCTCATTTTGGAAAAAATGTGCGGTACCCCATTTCAGGAGACCTCCATTAATATTGAATCGATAGCCAGCACATCGCCAGTAAATTCACATAGACCCTGCGATAAATCGGCCTTGGAAGTTGAGTTTCCACGAAAAAAAATGGTTGATCCTCAAGAGGCCAACTGTTGAGGCGCCAGAGGCTACCCGGCCTGGTTATGTCAACAGCCATTGAAGCCATGGCCCAAATAGTGGATGAATCCCCATTGATAGCATGGTGGATCTTTCCGTTATGTAAACCTTTGCCAGAGGCTATCCATATTCATCTTACTGGTGCTAAACGTAATGGATGGGTTGCTGGGGGTTGCTGGGGGTTGCTGGGATGATTATTACTAGTGATTATGGAGAATTCCCTCATTCCCTGCGTTTAGCACCAGTAAGATATTCATCAAATATCCGCGATTTCTCCACTTGGCGCCCCAGCTCCGGTTAGTGGCATCAACCGGCGACGTGCCATGTCGCGGATCGCGGATGACCGCGAGGAATCTCAAGGAACGATGGAAATCTCAATGAAAAAAAACATGTTGGATATTCATGGACATACAAACTGAAGTCTCAATGGAAAATTGTCATAAAACTCCACACTTGCAAACATTCCAAAGTGCTTCTCTACTCTTGCAATGGGATGTTTCGATGCACCTGTCAACCCCCTTTTTTTGGCACTCGGTTGTGGAATTCGGATTCAACAAATGCGGTGCCACAAATGCATCTGTCTTAAGAGCTAGCTTAGAGGCTCAGAGAGTGGATTGTTTACCCCATTTGCAACTGCATCTATGTGGACATAAAATGCCTACATGCTCATGTACCCTGCTTTGTTGCTTGTTTCTACAACTGGTGTCACTATCAGTGATCTGTGTCATGTGATTCTTTGTTTGTAAAAGCAAGGCTTCGGCGGAGAATACATATGCCTTTTAGAGTGTACCATGTACATGATCCAGAGGGGTGCACATAAATGGAAAAAAGACCAGGCATGGTCCAATCTACGACCAGAATGGCAAAACTCAGAATCATAATTTCAGGATATTTCAGGCAGGTACATTTTGAAATCTGTCCTGTCTCAAGCCCATCATCTTTAAAGTAAGAGTAGATTGGGCGAAAAAATACGAGCCAAGAGCAAACGCATCCAAAGTTTCACTATGACTGGAGAGGTGACTGTTTCTTTTGCGAAACACATGCAAAGCACCTGCAAGGCCTCAGAACCTATGCTGGATGCCCGAAATTATTGGAAGTCCGCTCTGGCCGAACTTATTGTCCATGTCTTGTCGCCATTTTCACTCTCAAACTTGTAGTCTTGGGGGGGTCCCACATTTGTAGATACATCCAGTGTCCATTCTCAGTTGCTTAAATGATGCTTAAATCCCCATCAATTGGTTGATTAGTCCTTATTCTTGATGGTTAAATCCTCATTTTCAATTGGTTTATTGAATGCTTCAATCAGTGCTGCTTTAAATCCCAGTGAAACATCCCCTTCTTGAAAAATCAGCGCGGAAAACGCCTCCTGGACTTCAGAGCTGGGGCAACCTGGAAACTTTGGACACCAACCCTCGGGACCTTGGGGTTTCTCACGTAATTGACCCTGGAATTCAAAAGATCTCACCCATCAAACGCAGCGAATCTACGGCGAATCAAAAATCGCCGCACCTTTCAGCAAGGCCAGCAGGGAATGCACCAACGGCTCGCTCAAACGCACTTGTCGGTTACCTTAGGCACGCCGATCAACAAATCTCCCAGAGATGGTGATTTTCGGGCAAAAGATGGTGCAAACTCGCCGGAGATTGGATTTTTATGTTATTTTTAAGGCAATTCAACATAAGATGGCAACAAAAAAAATGGCAAATGTGTATA